TTTTTAAGGGGAGAATCAACTTAAATTTGTTAGCGAAAAAATAAAAATAAAACAATAAACTTACGATTACAAAAGTGATAACACTCTAGTCACTAACTGCATTACAAAAGTAATAACACTATAATAGTGTTATTACTTTTATAACGCACTTATAACTTTTAAAATTCATTCTTTGTTCAAGCAACATTAGTATTCCCAAATTTTAATTGAAGTAGAAAAATATCTAGAAGAATTAAGTGGATGTTCAAATAATATTAAAACTTGAATAACTTATAAAAACGTGACAAACAACTTTATAAAAACATATCATAATAAAAGTTTAGCATTATGAAAAACGTTACTAATGGACCATAAAAACTCGCATTAATTTTAAAATTAACCAATAAAAATGTTTTATTGGTTGATTTTAAAATTAACGCGCGTTTTTATGCAACTTTTTTCATAATACTTTACTTTTTATAAAGTACTTTTTTAAAACATTAAGTGATCTGTGAAAGTTCCTGAAACTTTTTAAAAATATTTGAATATTTGCTTTATTTTTTCTAGATGCTTGTCTACTTTAATAAATGTTTGGAATTAGTAATGTTGTTTGAACAAAGAATGAACTTTAAAAGTAATAAATGCTTTATAAATGTAATAACACTATTATAGTTTTATTACTTTTATAATGTAGTTAGTGACTAAAGTGTTATTACTTTTGTAGTCAAGTTTATTGCTTTTGTTTTGTTTTTTGTAATTTTCTTGCTAGCAAACTTTTAATAATTTGCTCCTTATAAACAAATTACACAGCTTTGCATGAACTAAAATTTTAAAGACCTAATATTTTACCAAAGTTTGCAAATCGCGATTGCATAATTTAACTCTTGATATAAACTTGTTACATTATAATTATACAAATATATTTTACAAACAGATAACGATACATGTTTTCTCTTTCCTCTTTAAAAGAAAAACACATAAAATATGGGAAAGTCATCCCTTTTAACACGTAAAACCATGTTTGTTTTTTTGTGTGTTTTGACTTACTGAATTTTGTTGCCGATAATAATAACCACAAAGAAAAAACAAAAATTAAAACAGCACACAAATTATTTAAACTATTATTATTGTTTTCTATTAAAGTTTACTTTAATTTCTTATGTAGTTATTAAATTGAAAACAATTTTTCAGTAACCCATATAATATAACTTGCGCAAACGGCTGTAATCACGCTCTCTAACTTGAAAAACATTAAGGTCATTAGGACCATTAAGGTCGTATGAGACGAAAAACCGCACGCTTTTCCTGGGAAGGCTTTTATATATATATATATATATATATATATATATATATATATATATATATATATATATATATATATATATATATATATATATATATATATATATATATATATATATATATATATATATATTTGCTATAAATATATAGGCAAGAATGAAAATATTTTAAAATATATTACGCTAAGGAAGAATGTCTTGAACCTCCCAAAACAACACCGATGATAGCACACAACCACTGAGGTATAGATGATTTACGTTTGGGAGATAAACAAATGTAATCAAAAATCTCTTATAAGCTTTATGTATGCGAAACAGATACACATGTTAATTTTTTATGCTTTTTTTTCTTCTCAGAATTTTAGTCAATTTTTCTGAATGAATTATTTTACTAAACAATACTGAAGTAAACAAAGAATAGGTAAAAAAATGGTTGGTTTGATAAAGACCCATATTTTAAAAGGAAAGCTAGGAAGAATTTATCAAGACATTACTATTAAGATAGAAGAATTTATCAAGACATCACTATTAATATCAAAATCTTAAAATGATTTCGAATTTGAGTCAACTATTTTTAACTATAATTAACTAATTATTGCAATAGAATTGAAAAATTAAAATACTTTTTTTTTTAATTTAAATTTCAAATAAAAATTGGATTGATGGTTAATTTATCGGTTATGCGTATTATGACAAACTTTAAAGGGAACTTCTCAAGGAGGTATATTAACAAACCAGAGGCCGTATTCTTATCTCTCCGTTAAGCTTAACGGAGCGTTAGTAAAAAATTTCTTTTTAAAGATATTAATAAAAAAGTTCTTTAAAAATATAAATTTTTAAAAATAAATATTTTATTTTAGTATTAGTTTTATTTTAAAAAATTTAAATAAGATTTTCGTAATTTCTTCACTTAGATATATTGTAATGAAATTTCAGACAAAAGCTCCGTGAAGCTTAACGGAGAGATGAGAATATGGCTGCGGCTAAAAACTCAACTTCTTCTTTTTTAAATATTTATTTAAATATATAACTTTTAAATGATCAATTTTTAGCTGAGCATCAAAACAAATATCCATTTCATTTGTAGGTTTTCTAATGTCTTTATCAGTTAAGTTTATTTGAAGTTGATAGTAAAGATTGCTACACTTATCTGAAACATCTTTTAGTATGATCCACATGAGAAAGTCTACTATATCCATTTAGTATAATAGCCATAAATGGAATCATTGATTTGTCTGTTTGGAAGTGTCTCAATATATCTTTCAACTTTTCCAAAATCATTTCAAAAAACTTTAGTTTGGCAGGCAACACGAGTCATGAAATATGTTTTTTAGTGTCAGCCAATATTTATTTTTTAAATTGTTAGCTTTTCTTAAGATTACTGAGCTATGAAATAAACTCCATCAAGGATTCTGAATTTTTATCATAATTTTCATTTTCACATCACATATGTTAACAAAACTACACTGGATAATCAAATTTAAAATTCTTATTTGTCCAATCTTTTTCCTCGAACATTAGTTCTTTGGAATTTGCTTCCTTTATCTTGTACTCCTGATTCATATCATTCTTGCTCTATAAACTTTATCTTTTTTTTCCAGTAAACTCTAACTCATATAGTGGAACAATTTTTAACCATACCTCTCACAAACCAAACTAAAAGGTCTTTTAGTTTGATTCGCGGGATGGGATTAATTTGACCCTTCTGAAAAATAGGATTCATACATTTATCAAATGAAACAGGGTAACATAAGATAACATATATAGTAATTATACATAGATAGTAATTCATTTTTTTCAAAAAGGAAGCAACTCAAATGTCACTATCAGGAAACATTTTATAATTTTTCAGAATCAGTTGAATTCTTCAACTGAATATTTAAAATACACAATATTAAGCACTCAAGTTTTAGCTTTAATTGTGGATGTTTTTATCAGCATTTGATCTATTGTTTTTTGCATCCTGCTTCATTTGAGAATTCTGACATGCTTAAAAACTGGAACATACTTAAGAGCAGTGACATTAATGATTTTATATTGTTGCTAGAAGACCTCTCTGTGTCCTATATGTGCTTTTTACCTTTTATGAATGATGTTAAAGTAGCTTCTCCCATACTAGCAAAATTACTATCTCTAGAAAAGTAATAATTTAAACTCAAGACACCTAACCATGAAGATATGTTTATGAAATGGCTCACTATTCTGTTCATTGCTTTATCAATAATATTATTGATAAAGCAATGAACAGAATCTGTTTCATGTTTCAGATTATCTGATATAATACAATAACTTAAACTATCAAGTTTTTCATTTTTTATAAAATAAACAACAAAGGGGTACGATGTTGCCAGGCTGTTATTCCAATGAAAATCTTCCACTGCATCCTGTATTAGAAAACTATAGTTTTCTGCTAAGACAAGAAGAACTAAAGCTAGCTTTCCTTTTTAATTAGTTTTCAAATGTTGGAAGTAGGTAGCTTGACTTTTTGATATAAAATGAAGCAATCGTAAACTATCTAACTGTCCATAAACTATTTAACTAAATTCATCTAAAGGTAAAGTTACTGGTACTAAAGTATATTGAAAATTTGATTTTTGACATTGATAAAAATTAACTTTACTAGTTTCGTTTTCATTAAACTAAGTGTAAATTTAATCTAACAAAACCTTTTTCCAAGACATTTATCGTAATTATGCAACATACAATCTCTAAACAATAACTTAACTTTTAAAAAGTAATAATTTTAAGGAGAATTTACTTGACTCTTTGAGATTATCTTTTGAGATTTTCAATAAATGCTTATTAATTTTTTTAGTTTTTATTAACACTCTTTGATGTATATAAGAAATTTTATGAAAAAAAAGTAATTCAACAAGCAATTTGCTTAATTTTTTAAACTAGTTTTTAAGATTAAGCTCTTTAAAATCACCAAAAATTTTCCCAAACGTAAATATCAACTTTATCCTGTTATTATGAAAAAAGTTAAGATAGCAGAATTTAAATTTTTTGTTCTTTTAAAAGTACCCATGTATAATTGCTATTTTAAAATAGCAAAACCAACTTGTTCAAAAGTTATTAGCTGTTAAAAATGATGACAAATTTTTTTTTGATTGTAGAGTGAAATTTTATGCAAAATAGTCCACTAATTAAAGTGTTTTTTTGAGAACCATATTAGATATTGATCTAAAATTTTCAAAACATGCTTTTTCATTTATATGTACAAAATCAAAAAGTTTCAATAAAATCTAAGATGGTCCATAAGGAACCTCATAAAAACTTGCTCCACTTGACATGGAATGACCCATATGTTATATCATACATTGTGTAGTGGTAAATACATTATTTTTATTGTTGTTGGTGGTGGTGTTATTATTTTGGTTGTTGTTATTGTTATTGTTGCTGTTGTTGCTATTGTTGTTGCTTTTCTTTTTGTTTTTGCTGTTGTTGTTTCGAGCCTAAAACTAAACATACCAATGATAAAACTCTGTTTTCATTAAATAAAAAAGCAGCATTATTTCAATTACTTTTGTTATCATAAAGATAGTAACAATAAAATAACGCAAAGATTAAAATATAAAATTATAATTGTGTTAACATAAATAAATATAAAAATAATGCCAATATTGAAATAAAAATTAATGCAAAACTTTAATAAAATAATTGCTAGTTATAAGTTAAACAGTCTTTATCAGAAATAATTGTTCAAAAAGCAAAACTTACTTGAGAATGATTATTTTCACTGAGGCAAAAAAAATTACTATTATCAATGGTTCCATCAAACGAAATAGTTCTAAGAAAAAGAAGGCTTTCTTGTATTCTTCTTTTTTCATAAGTGTGATTTTTCAGACAAACATTTTCAAATAACCGCGAGGTTCCTTCCGACATAGTATTTTCTCGATTTTTCTCGAAATTAAACGTTAAGTGTAAAGGTTCTTTATATTAAAAATCCGGCTCGTCAAAATAAAATAAACATTTTTTTGTTAACTTTTTTATTTGGATTAGACAATTTCCCATTATAACCTATTTTTTACTTTTATTCAAAATAAGTTCAAACTAAGTTTCCTTCTTCCCTTAAGTCTCTTTGACCTGATTATAGGATCCGTTTGTTAACGCTAACCTTACATGTCGTTGACTTGTACAACGTTTACCTTACATGTCGTGCTAATCTGTAGTGAACTTGTTGCAGGATTCCTGAATTAATCCGACGCATCAGATTTTTAGATTGGCGCAAATTTCTCGATCTTTTAAATATTTATCGCAATTTGAACGTAAAAGTTTAACATTATTGATATCGTGTTTTTTTTTTTTTTAATTTACAATTTATTGTATTATGCAAAATCTAAAACAAAAAAACTTTACATTAAAAAAGCGCCACCAGATTTTAAAATATTTTAATGACTGAATAAGCGCGAATTTCAAAAGTGCGAAATGGCATAGGCGCGAATTGGCAAATGTGTGAAATGGCATAAGTGCGAAACGTTGCAATACTGGCATAAGTGCGAACTGGCATATGTGCGAATTGGCATAAGTGCGCCAAAACATTTTGCAAACTTTGGCATAAGTGCGAAAAGACATAAGTGCGAACTAGCATAAGTGCGAAGCAGTTGCAAAAACTGGCACGAGTGCGAACTGGCATAAGTACGCCGAACAAATTTAAAAACATTGGCATAAGTGCGAATTGCCATATATGCGAATTTGCACTTATATCAATGTTTGCAAATTTGTTCGGCGCACTTATGCCAATTTGCACTTATGCGAGTTTGCACTTGTGCCAGTTTTTGCAACTGTTTTGCACTTATGCCAGTTCGTACTTATGCCAATTCGCGCTTATGCATCCTCCCGGTTTAGAAGTTATACAATTTTTGAACTTTGTCGTATTTATCGTACACTATTTCAGTAATTTACCGGTATTTAGTAGTTTTTATTTTACCGAGTAATTGAAAATTCGGTTTCATTTACCGTGTCAATTGAATACTGTGCCTTAGTTTTGGATTTGTATACTTTGCCGTCTAGTTTGGATTAATATTTGCCGTCAAGTTTGGATTAATATTTTTAAATCATTTCAAAACATGATACAAAAAATGTCAGAAAAGAGTCTTAACGACACTGAGGAATATACAAATATAAAAGAAGTACTATCAATATCTGAACCTATGCTAAGTCATGATGTTAGTTATGTTACTCACAAAGAGTTAAATGACATGTCAAATGAAGTAAATCAGTATGAGAAACTATCCTACAAAAAGCACAATGGCGAGCATTGTTTTGTAAAAAGAAGTGATTCAGAAGAATGGCGTTAGTTAATAGTTGATTTAAAGTTTGCTAAAAAGGAGCGGTGAATCAAATTTTTTGCTGAAAATCATAAAAATTTACAAAACAATTGTTTTAAAAAAATTACAAAGTTTAGAAAACGTGCATAACTTGTATGTGCTTTAATTATTTTGATACTATCAAAATATCCTATCGATGATAGGAACTTTATTAATAAAAAGAATTAGTTACTTTTTAAAAATCATAAAATAAAATATTTGCTTATATATTATTACCACTAATTTTTTCTGTCAAAAATAGTAAAAATTTTGATTCAGCACTCCATCAAAAAAATAAAAAATACTGTTACAGATTTCATTACATAACTGAATTTGACATTATAAAAGTAATATTTTTATGATATTATAACTGTTAGACTAAGATAAACTAAATAGACTAATTTTTCTATATTGAGTTGGCTCTTTCATGTGTAGTTTTGTGGTGTTTACTTTTGTAAATTTATTGTCTTTTTTTTTTCCCTTGTTATTTTAATACAATAAGAGTTGCGTTTTATGTCATCATTCCATTACCTTTCCTTTAAATACTTTGTTTTAAATCTTGTCCTCGACTATGTGCTGACCTTTAATTATTTAATTTGGTGCATCTTTTGGCTATTAATCCTTCTTCAACTTCTCATATTATGAACTGTAAATCTGTTAATTTTGTTCATATTTGCTGAAGTCTTTCAAAAACAAAAGTAATTTTTTATAAATAATTATAATAATTAAGTAGTAAAGGGGTGCTACTGCAGTTTCTCCCCCCCCCCTTTTTTTTTTTTTTCCTATTGCTGATTATAATAGAGAATTTTATGTTGATTAAGAATAGTATAGGTCTGAAAATCAACAAAAACATATAGGTCTGAAAATCAACAAAAAGTGCTCTAATTCGATGTTTAAGTTCAAAAAGTTACCCTAAAAAAAGCTAATATTTCCCATTTTTTTCATACTCGGTTATAATTAAAATCCTTTTCAAAGATGATTTTTAAAAAGCCTGGTTTCTATCAACAATTTTAAGAAAAACTTTTAAAAAGTGCTAAGCGCTTCATTTTCTAATTTATCTCTGGCCCAAAGCCTAACCCCGTCCCAAATCATGTACATTTAATCGTGCCAATCCCTATTTGTCAGTCGATGTATGTGCATTTAGTTGTGCCAATCCCTATTTGTCAGTCGATGTATGTACATTTAGTTGTGCCAATCCCTATTTACTAGTCGATGTATGTACATTCAATTGTGCCAATCCCAATTTGTCAGTCAATTTATGTACATTTAAATAGCGACATCTTAAGTTAATTTTTAAAAAAATTAATTAAAAATATATAAATTAATATATTCATAAAAATATTTAGTTTAATTATAATCTAATTTTGACGATAATAAAAACCCGGTCACATAATTAAAAAAAGATTTTCTAAATGATCGATTTTAAAATTAGATGTAAAACGTTTTTAAAAAATGGCAAATATTAGCGTTTTTTAGTATAACTTTTTAAACTTCAACATCGAATTAGAGCACTTTCTGTTGATTTTCAGACCTATGTTTTTATACAATTTTTAATCAGCATAAAATTTTTTATCATAATCAGCAATAAAAAAAAAGGTTTTTTTTTCTTATTGCTGATATAAACTGCAGTATCGCCAGTAAAGGTTTAGTAGTTTTATAAATATTAATTATTAAATTTTCTTTATTTTGTTTGAACATTATATTTTGTTGTTAAATAACATTTTCCAGATATGTAATTGTCTATAATTTTCAGTGTGTGTAAGGTTTAGCATGAGTATTTCTTGGCACATGAGATATAATTCTTGCTGGTTTCTTTTCAATAACATCAAATTTTTAAAGGTGAGTTTTTACTCACCTTAAAAGTATTGAGCATTTATTTCTATAGAGAACAGTATATGCAGCCCTTGGATTTAGGAAAAATAAGGTCTTAAAATGAGCAATTTATTGCTCATTTTAAGACTACAGTTTTTATTGCTTGTTTTAAGACTACAGTTTAAAATGAGCAATTTATTGCTCATTTTAAACTGTTAGAGATTGGCATCAGGTCAGCAAACAAAAATTGATACAATTGTTTATCATAAAGCATAGTTACAAGGTAAGCGATTATTTGCTGACCTCAAGCACTTTAAGGTCGTCAGATAAGTTGGAATTGCCAAATGCTGACCCTAATTCTGAGAGATGTGTATGACTTGTAGTAATTATTTCGAGAATGATGAGGATTCTTTTTCTAAAACACTTAATGTACCATTACATTCACGTATTGTAGAGTCAATCTGCACTGATAATGTAAGATGTTTATCTAGAGTAATGTAAGATGTTTATCTAGAGTAGCAAGTAATTTAACTTATATCTTAAAATTTTAAAGTTTCAAACTTGATTTTAAGTTTACTAAGTTTAAGAAGTTGGCTCTGTTTATTCAATGCTTTATTAATATAACATGAAGAGCTCAGATTTTGTAATTTTTATTAATTAGTTCTAGAAACATTAAATATTTATTTGCTTTAATAAAGAAATTACATAATCATAATATTTAAAATGTTATAGAATGGAAATTATTTTGAAAATACTACTTCATAAAGTATTGCTTTTAATCTGAAAAATATTTTTGCATGTTTTTATTATAATATATATTATTTTATGTTTATATATATATATATATATATATATATATATATATATATATATATATATATATATATATATATATATATATATATATATATATATATATATATATATATATATATATATATCTATATATATATACACACACACATATGTATATATATATATATATATATATATCCTTATATATATATATATATATATATATATATATATATATATATATATATATATATATATATATATATATATTTATATATATATTTATATATATATATATATATATATATATATATATATATATATATATATATATATATATATATATGTCAAAAGAGCCTTTTAATGTAAAAAAGTCTCTTTCAACTACAATTTTGCTACCTCAACAATTAAGCTACATTTTATTGTCATCAAAATATCAAAGCAATTATATTAATGCGGAAGTACATTAATTTTTTTTTTTTTTTTTATTAAAACCGCAATAATTATGACTAGAAAGTTTTTTTTAATTAATGTTGTTTTTGCTGTTGTTTTATTTAAATATATTTTTAAACCATGCGCTGAGTGTTGCTACATCAACTATCTTATAGCCTGCTGCTACAAAAGAGTGTTGCTACATTGGCAAACAAATAGCCTGACTTGCTGTTCCTTAAAGTGATGGAAAATGACTTGTGCTTTTGCGAGTGATTGAAATTCCATGAGCTAAGTAAGAATGATTGAATTTTTAAATTCTTTGGCATATTCTTGCCTACAAGATTTTTCCAAAGCACACTTTTTTAATAAATTGAAACTTTCTGAAAAAGTTAACAAAAGCTATTGCTTCCAATACACTATGTTTTTGGGCAAGTCTCTGAAGAATTGCAAATGCCAGTTGGAATTTTCTCACAATTGAAATCAAAACTACATATAAAAATATTCTTGGCTCTTTCAATTAAAAAATCAGTTAATAAGTGATCAGTGGGAAATTTTCGGGTTGTTTTTAATGAGGGTAGGACCCCTTTTTGAATGATTGTGTATGTTCTGTAACAATATAGAATCATCAATATGTATAATAAAAATCTGTTAACATTGTATTGTAGAATATGAATAGATTCTTAGTGTTTCACCATTCTTATTTTTGGTATTCTAAGTTTGTTTGTTTTTTTTCCTTCTTTTCAAATTTGTACGGAAATTGTTAATTTCAAAGAAATTGGTACTTTCATTTAAAGAACCAATTTCTGTATGGAAATTGGTAATTTCAAAGAAAAAACCAATATTGAACGCATCACTATGTGATTTCTTCACATGGTAATAAGAGTACAATATTGGTGGTAATTTAAAAAAAAAAAAACAATATTAAACTCTTATTACCATGTGATTTCTGCACATGGTAATAAGAGTTCAATATTGGTTTTGTCATTCATCTTACTTAGTGATTACTAAGTAAGATGAGTCTACAGGTATATGCGCCACAAAAACTAATGCACCCCAAAAACCATACGGACACATTTTGTAGTGTAGCCAGGTCTATTTAAACATAATAATTATATAAATGCAGTTTTTTTGTATTTAAATGTCCCAGCTAATGAAAAAAAAAAACATTGATATAATTTTAGCTTAAAGTAATTTTTTTAAGCTTTTTGGAAAAACTTCTCTGGTTTTTTAAAGCAATATTTTTAGTAAAAATACTATAAAACATGCAAATGTCAGACTAAGTTTGGAATTTGACTATTTTTTAAGCTCTTGAGTGCAAAAAATCAAGGAATGTTATTTTAGATTTTCCAGTTTCGTGTTGAAAAACTTTATGTGCATTTAGTATCACCTGTGAAATCATTCTAAATGCTAATTTTTTGTACCACATAACTTTTACGCAATGTTCGTAAACTATGTAACTGTTGATCCACTCTGTCAACCCCTCCCATGTGACTGTTATATGATCGCACTATTGATGGTTTGTATATTGCAGAGTCATTTGCATAGGTTTTACCAGTTTCAATCATTTTTGCTGAATGGCAAGTTGACAACATATATACAACCTTCTGTTTATTTCTTGATTTATTTTTGACAGCTCGATATTTACATGCAATAACACGTGAATCAATTGTGGATCGATAGAACACAGCCTCCCCTTTTTCTAACGCAAACTCCGCAATTTCTTTACAGTACTTTTTTCTATTTGATTTAACTGTCCCACAAAGGTGTGTATTTCTTCCTAAAAGAAAAGTTGCTAATGAAGGGCTTGTGTAGTAGTTATCTGTAAACAGTATATGTCCTTTATCTAAATAAGGTTCCATAAGTGCAGCTGGTATTCTCTCAGTGCTGGGCATATCCTCATTTCCGTCTTCATAAAACATACCTTTACCACAATACACTAAAAAATCT